TGCGAGATTTACAACCCTGGAAAATTTTGTTTGAATAGACTGCTCTAGATAAGCTCAAAGAACTAATCTAAAATTAGTTATCAACATCATCACATCAAACGTTGCCAATTCAAGTAGGGCCTATCTTTGGAAAGAATGAATTTAAATAAAAAGCAACCAACTGAACTTAAGGAAAACTGGAACACAACGTAACTTTATAGGAACAGACCTAAGCGGTGGAATACGCACTTCTACATATCGAAAATTCAAGTCCAAGAATCAAAATTGTTTCACAGAGCAATTCTACTCTTCGGGAACTTAGCCTTAAATCTGTCTACTACTGAGTCCAAGTCAAGAGCACTTCCACGGGCACGATGAATACCTAGCATCATCAGACTGTCTAGACGCTCGTCCTTCATAAGTGAGCGCAGATCACTCTTGATGAGGCGCATAGAGCTGAAGCTGCGTTCACATTCGGCTGAAGAGACTGGCAAAGTGCATGCGATGGATACAAGCCGGTGCAGCTCAAAGAAAGCTTCATTTAGCTTTTCCAAGTGTGCCTCTAGTTGCAGAAGTGTGCTTGGGCGGTGTTTTTCTTCTTTTCTTGAGAGCATATATTTAAATGTGGCAATTTCACTGCGTAGTGCACCAATTTCAGACTGAAAAAGCTCAGCAAAATTGACAAGAGTTGTTGGGTCCAAGTAGCTTTTCGACTTGGGGGCCAATGCAGTTATGCCTTTCATGATCTTTATGTTTTTTTCGTCAAACCGCTTGCAAAGTTCTGCAGTTGTTCTGTTTAGTATTTCTTTGACATTTTGTACGTAGCCATCAAACCCGCTTGCTACTTGAGGCTCTGAAGATGCTTCCACAACAAACTCTCGAAGAGAAGCAGGCGTTGCCCTCTTTCTTGGTGGTCTTTTTTCTTCCGGCAATTCCAAGCGATCCGCTGCTTCTTCGGCAGTATCCCAGAACTCTTGAATCTTATCCCTGCTTTGACAGTCATCCAGTTCATCTTTCAATGTTGCAATGAGATCAATGGCTTGACTCAAATCATTGGAGGGTTTCTGCAACATGTCAGACGCAAATTTGGCTTTGTTCAAGACGTGTCGGATGGCAAACAGGTATCTCACAAATTTCCTGTCAATCTGCAGAAGATAACCAGTAGCTTCTGTTCTGCGACCGGGGTTCGTATCTGTGTCAATCACATCCTGCAGGACTTCCACCAAGATATCCAACCGCTCCCAGAAAACATTGAATTGCTTCGCCTGGCAAGACCATCTCGTGTCAGAAACTTTTCCAATTTCCATCACATGAACCTTGTGATCCTCTTGGACCTTTACCCATCGTACATGAACGGTGCTGCTGCTCAGAAAAGAATGCAGGCTTCTGAATAGCGATATCATGTCTGCCACACAACTGATTGATTTCACAACATCGACGATCACAAGGTTCAATCGATGACAAAAGCAATGGACGTAGTAAGCCATTTCAGCACCGGTTTTCAGAGGAAGTTTCCTTTGAACGCCATTCAGGTGACCAGAAACAACAGAAGCTCCATCGTAGCCTTGCCCCACGCATGCTTTCATGTTGGCTTCGATGCGTTGCAATCGTTCAATTATTGTGTCTGAAAGACCATCTGCATCTAAACTTTGCGCCTCAGCAATGCCAATAAATTCCTCATGTATGGCATTCTCGTAGCAGTAACGGACTGCAACAACAAGCTGCTCTTTTTTGCTTCTATCTTTAGACTCATCTGAAAGGACGGTAAAATACTGAGCCTTATTGAGCTCACTTTTTATTTGCTCAAGAACCATGTCTTTCATAATGTCTAAGATGGCATTCTGTACGCTGTGGTGAGTATACTTTGCATTTTTCGGGCCAGTGCGGATTTTGTCAGCAACAACTGGGTCATGCCTTGCAAGAAGACCAAGTATCGCAAGAAAATTACCACAAGAAGGTCCATAGTCTAGAGCTTCTTTATTTATATCGGCAACACGAAATGAACCTCCAGTCTCACGTTGGGCAATCTTCCGCTGAGCAGTGAGAAGCAGGACTTCGCAAATCACTCGCATGTAATGCCTGTTGTCTTTAACCAGTTTCGAATAAGCGGCATCATGAAGTGTGGCAATGGTCTGAAAATTTCCAGACTTAACGTTTTCATAGTGCGCTTTAGCAGCTACACTTTGGGCATGAAGATGGCTGGTTTGATGTTGCAAGAGTTTGTTATCATTCACTTTGGTGCCATAGCATCTTTTCCAATTGCGCAAGCCTTGACTAACAAACGCTGGATCCTTCCGATTCTCTGAAAAATTACGACAGTGGAAACAGAAGATGGCATCCTCCATTTGCGAATACTCAATCCAGGGATACTTTTCATACAGCAAAGGTGTGAATGCGCGATGCTGATTGCCAATCAAATGTGTAGGGAAGGAAATATTACGAGGCTGCACAGGTCCGCCGTCTTTGGTTGAGGATATGTCCTTGGGGCCAGCGACGGATAGTGTAAGTTGCGGTCCTCTCGAATCTCCTTGAAGTGCTAAAACGAAAAAAATTATCCATCACACTTTGCAAACTTTTTTCCTGTTAAGTTCTTGGCAGTGCCCTATTTTATATCTGAGAAGTGCCTCTTTTCATTGTTTTAGACTTTTCTTTGAGCTTTAGTGCGAAAGAGGCTATGGGAGCCAAAGTGGCTGCTTATATGCAAAACTTTTCCGGGCGAGCATGCCCCCGTGCCCTTCTAGCAGGGTTTGCCTTCGTCTTAATTACATACCAAGGTGCCCTTTTTTCACGCGCCCTTCCACTTTTTAGTACCCCCCTACGCCGCTGGTTAATGGAGAGTTACGATTATATCTGATAGCTAGTTAGTATACCTTCGGCTGATAATCCTGCAGGATCAACTTCATCTTCCAACTCGAGTTCCAACTGTTCCAAATTTTCCTCGATATCCTCGTTGCTGTCGCTTTCATTTGCTGCTTCCACAATGTCCGACATCGACTGTTCGGCTTCCGAAATGGTGACGTAGTTGTCAGCATCTACATTCGTGACTTCGGGGTCCAAGCTAGAAGTTGTACCTGGAAGTTTAAACAAATGATTTACTACCCTGTTTTACATGTGTGAAAAAGATTATAATATCTCCTGGGAGATGGACAAAAAGGCATTTTTACTAATCAATCTTTTGTGACTCTTAATATCAAAATCATCCAAAAAATTATTTTTATTTGTAAATAAAACGAAGAAATTTATACGTCTAACAAGGTTTATTCCTCATCCAGTCATAGCCAGGTATATTTGTTTAAATATGTCGCAGTCGCAGTGAAATCCCATATTATATAGGTCCGAAAATAAGAAACTTTTAATTTCTGGAGAGCTAGGTTTCCTATAAAAATACACGTTTTTTTCTTAATAAGGAACTTGTTTATAAAAAAAACTAGAAGGATTTATCGTAAATAGTAATAGATGGTTTCCCTTAAAAATAGTAAAAAATAAGAAATTTGGAAACTATTAGTACTCTGGGCTTGAGTCAAGTTTCTTATAAATAAAAAAACGTGTACGTAGAAGCAAAACACTACAAATATGTATGGTTGGGATGGGGTAAAATGGCTTAGCTACTACGTAAATGAGTTTGATTGTTTTTATGGCTGAAGCCCTTTGCTAAGTGTTTTTCCTCGTATTAAAAGGACTTAAATATTAAAACGTATAACATACCACGTTCGATTTGCTCTTCGTCTTGAATTTTCGAAATTTCAACTTCTTGTTCTTCGGGGTCTTCTGTTGTTCTTTCAGTTTCAAAATCATTAACCTTTCGTTTCTTTGGAAAAGTACCGCCTTTTGATTGAAAAAATGTTTTTATTTTTCTCTGCTGCGAGTCCGTTTCAACTATTGCCGTCGTAGGAGCAGTCCTTCCCATTGCAGCCAAATCTTTGTGCTTGGACTTCGTGTGGCGGGCAGCGTAATCATTGTTAAATACGTCATTACATATACTACATCTAACACTGAAACGGGTAACATTTGTTGCCATATCGCTATCGCACAAAAATATTCCGATGTTGTAGGTTGGTTATAGCAAGCAAGATTTGGACGAACTGCACTATCCATAACATAAGATCAAATTTAACAGCATGCGGAAAACACCTGGTACTGAACATCTAAACAACCAATTCAAACTTCTTATAACAGATTATTATTTACCATGAAATTGATGTGTCGATGAGTTGTTTTGGGATGAGCTTCCTGAATTCTGATAACAGTCCTTTTAGAAATTTCTATTTCCGCCAAAACTTAAAAAATTCGCTCCGACAAAAAAAATTCAAGCATAATTTATCTTCCGACGGAGGGGCTAGCCTCCTCCGACGGGGGGGCTGTAGCCCCCCCTGCCCCCCCTCTGGCGCCACCACTGGTTGACCCTGAACATCACATCGATGTTAGAATTGAACATTAGACAATCTCAGCCAAAGCACAGGCTTTAAGCCGCTCCACGGGATCTCTCAATTGACTGCATTCATTAAAGGTCGCTGAATCAGTGATTTGATGACACAGACTGCCACAACCTTGATCGATTCTCTGGAACTTTAGATCATACATGAACTATCACAAATGCTACGAGCTACTTGCTAATATGGTGATCTCTTAAACGAATACTCACAGTATTTTAAATTGCGCAAGCAATCAATCGCACAGTAAAATAGCCTCACAAAAAACGGGAGAAGCTATATGAAGATACGGTTACTTTCGTAGTGTTTTTATCTTTAATAGATAGTGTTATTATATTCTTTTGGCAGTTTGATTCAACAATCAAGCTAGCTAATCTGATCTAATCCTATCTATCTTGAACATATATTGCTATCTAAAAATAATAGTTACTTTAGTAAATGTCCTTATGGCAATATAAATCTATTTTAAGCAGCAATAATTTAATGGCTCTAAAGGATTCATACCGCACCATCTGAAAGACCGTCATGATCAAGAAAGGGTAAATAATTTAAAACATCAATTTCTCTCCAAGATCCTATTCTAATTTTTGTACGAAGTCTTGAAAGTCTTGAAATGAAACATGGGAGATTCTACTTGATATAACCCAGACTCGAAAAAATTCACTTACCCTCTCGATCACATCATCAAAATGCAAAGTGCCATATGTCAAGGCTTGAAGCTTAATAAAGCACCAGCTATCCTCGTTACCATAAATCGCAACGGAAATGGAGCAAAACATACAAGTGCCATCTGCTTTGACGCTAATTGGTTCTTTTCCAGCATCACGTAGCTCATCCGGAACAAGATGGCGAAGCCTTTTTGAGGAAAAGAAATATAATCAGTGATAAAAAAAATTAAACACAAATTGCTTTACAAACTGCTGTAAGGAAACATTCTTCACCTTGTCTGATTGGAACTAAACGAAGAAAAAGAAAGTTGCATCTAAAAAGAACTATTCAAAAAATGGTGTACAGAATGTGTTTGGTCAAGCATTATTTCAAGAGACTGGATAAACATTTTTTAGAATAGAACACACTTCAATGGAGAAGGATTTCTAGTGTTCAAAAACGCCTTAAAATGACACTAAAGATTTAAAGACATAAACAGGTTAGAAAATAAATAACATAGTATTCCAAATACTTATTATTAACAACACTTACCACAGATTAATGTTTTTCTCCCCTACCAGTGAAGCATCAGCTAGTTCAAGCTGTTTGGGCAAAACGCGAAGCAATTCTTCCAGGACACTCAATTTTGAAGCACCCGCAATGGCTTTCAAAAAGTTTTGACAAGCATCATTATCCCATAGGCAATGCCAAAATACACAGAAATTGGGTTATTTCTAAAACAAAATTTTATTTGAAACACAATAAAATTTCTTTCTTGACCTCAATTTTTAAATACTCATACAGTACACATACTCGTATTTATAAACGTTTTTGATTTAAGGTCAGCATGTTGTTTGGAAGACTAGTCTTAATCTAAAAGAAATCAACAATTTAGTATAATCCTAAAAAGCCAATTCTTACTCAAAAAGCTATGTAAACCTTTGTTATTGAAGAGATGAAAACTTTTCCTTGCAGTTGTTTGTGAAAAAATTTCATCTTGATAACAAGCACCCTAAATGATTTATGCTAGAATTGGTCCCTTGTTACAGGTACATAAAAAGCTACATAAAAAAATTTACATTGATACTAAAGGTCTTACACGATATGGCGCAAGAGTTGCTTCTATGAAGTCATCATCCTCAGAGCATTGAAGTCCACCATATCCTCAATGACTTCTTCAGCTTGCCTCCCTTCAGCTGCCATGTCACCAGTGTGATGTTCTGATTTTGACTGGATGTATCTTGAGCAAGACTCAGGGATATCATCCAGCTCCCTAACATCAAATTTTGGAGCTGCATTTGGTGACCTGAAAGGAAGGTTTTCAGGCCACCAGTTTTTTGGACGATACTCCTCCCTCCACATTTTCCTCTTTTTCAAGTCTTCAGAAATAAAAAAAATAAAAAGTGATATTCTAAAAAATATATACAGTGACCAATCCAATATATTTGCTAATAAAAATGATCCCTTTGGCTACATACGAACATGAGCAAACCTTTCCTCTAACAAACTTGAAGGGGCAGAGAGCAGTTTACCCAAAAGGACACATTTTTGCTTTCAGAAAGAGCAGAGCAATAAGTGAAATAAAAATATTTTTCATTTGAAAACACTCAAAAAGCCAAATGTTTTTCAACAAAGCCTGTAGCGTGTTAAGACAAACAAGATGCCCAGGCCCTGGGAAAATGGAAAATAAAGGGAAAATAGAGCTAAGTACCTTTCCCCAACACAGCAGCTCCAATCAGTTTTCTTTTGCTATCAACTTGAAAGGATTGAATATCCTCTTTCAAGAAGGTATCAATGATAGAGTCTTCAATTCCTAAAATGCTCAAAATTTATTCAACACAAAAATTTGTAACCTTGTAAAATTAACTTGGGTTACTAGAGGCATGATGAAAAAGTGATAGAATCATTTCAGAATATTTATCACACTATTATTTTTGTATAATGTAGAATACAAGAAGACATTTGTAAAAAAATTGTATGATATTGCATGTACGTGTTTTGCTAGTGCATTATACGGTATAGGTTCTCTACATGTAACAGAATCTTTCGGCATGCAGTATTGTCTTAGAAATAGTTGTTTTTAGATTATCTCTTAGTTAAATAAGGAGTTAAGGTTACAGGTAGATAAATTTTAACAACAAGGATTTTAATTTTACCATCAATCCTTCCAGTTGGCTTGGAAGGTTCTGGTAGAACCTGCCCAACAGCAATGCCTTCAACAAACCGGGATCCAATTTCCAAGAATTTTTTTTTACGTATGGGTCGTCCATAAATTCATGGAAGAATGGATGACCTTGAATGAAAAATAAGAGCAACCATTTTGAAATTAGTTATCAAAAGTGGTGTTTCAAACTTTTTTGAAGTTTCAATTTCTCAAAAAAACCAACTCCATTGTAACATTATGACAAAGTTAATTGACAAAGACTTCAGGCAACTAAAGGCAAGCAAATATATTTAAAGGTCCTGAGCCTAGACAAAACCAAGCTATATAAAGTAATCTAGCTCTGCATATGATCTTCAATCCTTAACAAATTAAAGCTTACAAAACCTTTCGAGACTATGCTGACATCATGATGGGATATTTGAAAATATTGTCATATTTGCACTGTCAAGTTGAAAGTTTTTTTCCAAGAAAGGTTAGGAAGTTGTACAAGCCTATGAACGGTATGGGTCAGTATTTGCATGCTGACATTTTGCTGCTGGTTGAATCATGTTAATGTTTACACTGTGGTTTCATATTTTCAGGGAAAGCTGAATCTTTTCTGCATTTTTTAAATTGGATATCAGCAAAAAGTTGACATTGCTCCATTCGTCTAAAAGTATAAAGAAATAAATCATAAATCTATTCTTTATCTACCAGTGAATTTGACATGCAGGTGCTGAGATTTGTCGTGGTACAGCGTCAATGCAACTGTTGGAAAACCTGTTTTGTCTGTCCATTTAGAAATCTGAAGCAAACAAGATTGGGGCATTTT